GCGCCGCCGCCGCCGCCGCCGCCGGCGCCCGCGCCCGCGCCCGCGCCGCACCCGCACCAGCACCACCCCCACCTCCCAGGGGCGGCCGGGGCCTTCCTGCGCTACATGCGGCAGCCAATCAAGCAGGAGCTCATCTGCAAGTGGATCGACCCCGACGAGCTGGCCGGGCCGCCGCCGCCGCCGCCACCGCCCCCGGCCGGCGGCGCCAAGCCCTGCTCCAAAACTTTCGGCACCATGCACGAGCTGGTGAACCACGTCACGGTGGAGCACGTGGGCGGCCCCGAGCAAAGCAACCACGTCTGCTTCTGGGAGGAATGTCCGCGCGAGGGCAAGCCCTTCAAGGCCAAATACAAGCTCATCAACCACATCCGCGTGCACACGGGCGAGAAGCCCTTTCCCTGCCCGTTCCCGGGCTGCGGCAAGGTCTTCGCGCGCTCCGAGAACCTCAAGATCCACAAGCGCACTCATACAGGTGGGTGTCTGTCCCCGGCCGCGTCGCCGCCGCCGCCGCCTCCCGCGCCGCCGCCGCTTCCGCCGCTGCTTCTCTTCCTCCTCCTCCTCCTGCTCGCCTTCATTTTCCCTCCTTCTGCTGCTTCTCTTCGCATACGTATAACCCGGACATGTGACTTCTTTTTTTTCTCTCCCCCCCTTTTTTTCTACGAATAAGTAATTCGATAGCACACACAGGCCCCGCGCTGGGTTCCCACACGGTGGAGTCTCCAGCGCGTCCGCAGCCCCTCGGCCGGGACCTGCAACGCGCTCCAGCCGCCGCCGCCGCCGCCCCGGATCGGAAGCAGCAGCAGTCGGAGCAGGAAGGCGCCCAGGACGGTCGGCAGCCCCCGTTCGCCCGGCCCCGGGAACCTGGGGAGGGCGATGGGGCAGGGGGACCGGAGCCGCCCCGGTGGCGGACCCCTTGCGGTCGCCGTGCTCCGGAGAGCGGGCGTGCGAGGGGGCACGTGGGATTTACTCCAGTATTGAGGCCTCTAGGCCTAGCTCGAGGCGGCCCTAACAGGAGGGGAGGGGTCCCGTCCCTCCGGGGCGTGGTGCACAAGGCCAAAGGAATGCGCCCCTGCCCCCCCCCCCCCCCCCCCCCCACACAGTCACACACCCCACACCGCCCCCAAACCACTTCACACACCCGTGTCTCATACCACCCACCTCTGCCTCGTTGCTGGACACCCACATGCTGGCACACTTTCTCAGACGCCTTCGCATACACCCATGCTCACACTCGCAGCATCACACAGCTCTGTCACACACTCACACGTGTCCTAGAAGATGCTGGAGAAATTCACTCTGTCCTTCCAGAAAAGGTTCTAGTTGGGAGGAGGACAGGGTGAGAGCTAGTCTCTTGCGGGCATTGGCCCCGCGGAGGAACTTGGGGGCAAACCCCCGGCGCTGCGGCGACCCCTCCCATCCCAGCCCCCGGTCCTGCCCCCCTCCCCCACCCCGTGAAGACGATTGCGGCGGGGCTGGTGGGGTGTTTTCTGTGGGTCGTGTGTCCCCGTCGAACGCACGAGCGCGTTAAGCGGAAGGCTGATGAGCGCGAGCGGTCGGGATTTATAGGGACAGACGATATTACCCCTCGGAGGACACTTAAGTAACTAGAGTTTACGTTCAGTAATTACTTAGCTGATTTATCGGCGCTAGGCGGCGAAGAGGCAGCCGCCGCGCGTGGGCCCAGCGCCCGGCTGGCGGCGGGGGCCGAGGGCATCGGGGGCGCCAGGCGGATCTGCGGGGGGAGCCGGGTCGGGGTGGCCCGGGCTCCTGTCTGCCAGCACCTGGCAGGCCTCACGTGCACCGCCGAGGGACCGGAGGAAGTCTTCCCAGGAAGTCTCCGAGCCATTCCCATTTTTCGATTCGGGATCGGCCCGCCCTAAGGAGTTTTCCAAAAGGAAAAACTTCCCTAGAGGCTTTTGGAAAAAGTCCCTGACCCGCTTAGCCAGATGTTTGCCCCAACGCCCAGCCCTTGCCGCCGGGACAGGGTTCCAGGACCCTAAAGGGGGCACGCGGGGCGCAGGAGGTGGAGCTGCCCTCAACCCCGGCCCCAGTGGGCCCCCGAGAGCAGAGCCTGCGGCTTGCGTCTCCCGGCCCTTCCCGCCTTTGCAGGCCTCGGAGAGAGGCGGGGTTGGGGGGGGGCTTTCTTCCGCGGCGGCCGGAGCGGGGGCCGTTTCCGCGCGCGTGGAGCAAGGAACTGGGGGGTGCCGGGCTCCCCGCTCCCGCGGACGGCGGCCCGGAGATCCCGGGTGCTGGGGGGGGCCCAGGCCCGAGCTGCTTCCTAGTTCCACCGTGTGCGCAGGGTTGCGGTTCCCGCCCGGCTGCCGGGGGCCCCGTGGTTCTTGCCGGGCCGCGGGGAGCGATGCCAGCGCCGGGTCCACCGGCCGCCTCGCCCAGGCGCCTTGTGTGCGGCAGGGGGACCATCGGGGACCCCCCCCCCTCCCTACCACGGCGCTCTCGCGTTTGGGGGTTATCCGGGATCCCGGAACAAACCGAGCAAAGGGAGTGATTCCGCGGCCGCTCCCGAAGGCCCATTTCCTGACCCACGTGCCCCCAGTTCGGTTTATAACCTTCCATCGGGCCGGACTCGAGTTACCTCCGGAACAGGGAACGAGTAGGCAGGAGAGGAGCTCATGCACGGCCCTTACTCTCTCGAATTCTGCAAGTGGTTAAATTCTGATTGACCCCTCGGTCAGAATCTGAAATGTAAACACGGGGGTCTCTCACCCTTCCCAGTTTGCTAGAATTTGCTCAGTGCCCCTCTTAGGCCGCCTGAAAGACAGGTGGTCCTTTCACCTTTATTACCCTCCCCTGCTTTCTTCCTCTCCCTCCTTCGTCCTTCCTTTACTACTCCCCCGCCCCCCATCCCACATCTCCCTTCCCTGGGCCTAATTGCGTCTCTGTGTCGTGGGCAGTGCGAGGCGGCGGGTGTGGAAGCGGTGCGCTCTCTTCCCGACCCGGGATACGCAGGGAGCACCGAAGCAGGAGAACTCCAGACAGCACTGCCCTTTTCCAAAGGATGAATAAAGCCGCTTAGGCCTACGTATTGAAGAAAGGCCGATTATAATTTTGTAAATTATGCCCTTTTAAGTTAATATTATCTTCAGTTTTTAAAGTAGAGCACAGAAGTCAGAACAGATAACATGTTTTGATAAAAAGTGATTAACATTTTTTTGTTGGCGTTGCAGGTCATCTGCTGAGAAGGTTGGGATGAGTGTGTTACCTTGTGTTTTTCCCTCTGTAGATCCATGCCGCCCGTATGTTTGAATAATAACCTAATTTCATGTTTAGACAGTATTTCCAGGTGGGATAAGTTATATTCCAGCCATCTGAATACTTCCAGACCTATTAGTACACTCTGGCATCGATGCAGTTAGCATTGGTGAAATTAAAAAAGCAAAACCCCAAAACAAAACAAAAACGAAAACAACACTGCACTGAAATATTTGTATAAGAAAATTCACAAAAATTTATATACACTCAGCTGTTTTAATAGTTGTTTTTTAAAAAAATATATATTATCCCAAACTAAGGAAAAAGCCGGACCTCGTGAACCAGCAGAATAGCTGCTAGAATGTAGAGAAATTCAACTTTATTTTTAAAATCATGTGAATATTATTGAATAAACAATATTATTGAAGTGTTATTGAACAATAATGTGTCTGAGATGGCTTGTTCAGTCTTGACTTGAATACATCAAGTTCGTAGATGCTTAGGTGAGAGAGAAAATCCGTACTGTTAACTATCTTCCTTTCTCGCTCTTTAATGCCGGCATATATGGCTGGGTTTCCGTTAACCATTGTCTTATTGAGGATTTCCACTTCCTGCACTAGGGGCCTTGTGCTTACAGGCATGGCGTCCCTGAGGTGGTTAGAGCAGTTTCAAGGGGCCATGGGCCAAAGACTGGTAAATAGTCCCTTTTCTGACTGTTAAGTAAGGTAGGAAGCTGTCAGCATCTGTTTCCCTGGAACGTCAGGTGCGGGCTTGGTTCTGGTGGGGCCTTGAGGGCCTTGCTAATGTTTGCTAAGATCCCCTTCCTCAGGCTCTTAATTGCCTTGCAAGCTGGGAGGGAAGGTGGTAGAATGAAGAGGCGGTTGGCCTAGTCTCTACGCAGCCAGGCTTATAAAAAATCAAGCGATGGGATTGTGTGTTTCACAGGTGCCTTTGTTTCTGAAGAGAACGGGATTTGTCTTTATTTCATTTCTTTTCCCATCAGGGGAACCCTGGGGCCGCTCTGAAACAAAATGCCATTATTATAATTTTATGGCACCCCCCTCACTTCTCTTTTAATTTAGTGGACTTGCTTACTTTCCTTCTCTTTTTCTTGTATTCTTCCCCCAAGCTGTGACTTTGGAAGAATCATTTTATCAGCATTTATCTTGACAGGGGATCTGCTTGTATTTTTGCGGGAACAGACCCTGAGGGCAGTGAGAACCTGGGTATTGGGGTCCTGGTTGGGTTTCTGTGTTGCCTCCTGGACTTCGCTGTACCCATTTCCCCTCACCCCCCCCCAGTGCCCACCCCCCTATTCCCACCCCCAGCCCTGTGGTGCTGCGGGGATTGACATCCAGCCTCTCACAAGCCCAGGTCCAGGGAGAGCCTCCAGGCCCATCCCTGAAGGATCCCTACCCTGCTGCCTTCTGGAACGTAGGGATTAGGAATGGAAACCAGGCTGGGGAGTTGGCCTTCAAGAGAATGGGAAAATGCCTCCAGATTTCCGCTCCAAGATTTCTCTCTCAAGTGAGGGGTCTCTGAAAAGCAACTGTTGACCTTCCCTATGTTTTGTTGCAGGGGAAAAGCCTTTCAAATGTGAATTTGATGGCTGTGACAGGAAGTTTGCCAACAGCAGCGATCGCAAGAAACATTCCCATGTCCACACCAGCGACAAGCCCTACTACTGCAAGATCCGGGGCTGTGACAAGTCCTACACTCACCCCAGCTCTCTGAGGAAACACATGAAGATTCACTGCAAGTCCCCCCCGCCTTCTCCCGGAGCCCTTGGTTACTCCTCAGTGGGGACTCCAGTGGGTGCCCCTTTGTCCCCTGTGCTGGACCCAACCCGGAGTCGCTCTAGCACTCTGTCCCCTCAGGTGACCAACCTCAATGAGTGGTACGTTTGCCAGGCCAGCGGAGCCCCCAGCCACCTTCATACACCTTCCAGCAATGGAACCACCTCGGAGTCTGAAGACGAGGAGATGTATGGGAACTCTGAGGTTGCGCGGACCATACGTTAGAATTTATTCGTGATAATAATAAGAAGTCATAAGTAGGAGTCCTTGGACCATATCCTAACTTGAGACAATGCCGAGCCTGAGACAAACCCTTGACTCAGACTTGCCACCGGGTCTAATTAGCCCTATTTATTCCGTATGAAACCCTATGGTGTTTGTACCTTTTAATTAATTTAATTAAGATATTTGGGCTTTTTCTTTCTTCTTCTTAGAAAACAAACAAACAAACAAAAAAAACAATCGAACTGGACTTGTACGTTGCAGGGGGACAGGGCGAGGAGCAAGATGTACCAAGGGTTAATCGAGATCCACACTGCCAATGCAATATCCGTAGACTTTGGAAGGAGCGAGAAAAAGCATGAAGTCAGAACTGCACACAGCAACAAGGCCCTCTGCATTTCCCGCAGTGCCTCGAGAATGCCTTTACCACCACAACCTGGGCTGCTTTGGAGCCTCTTAGCCTCCTCCTTGGGCCCTAAGTCTAAAAAGGCCTCTTGATTGTAAGCCACACACTTGCTGCATCACCAACAGATCTCAGACTGTACCTGTGTCCAAAACTATTTGTAAAAACCCTTTAAGTTCAAATAGTTGTCATTTGAAATTCCCACTCTTTTCTTACTGATCTCCTCTTAACGCACTATTTTTATACAGGATTGTTTCCCCAGTACCCTGCCTATGTGACGGAAAGAAAAAAAGATGCAGCAGACTTAACACATCTCCATTGATTGTGCTACTGTGATTGTTCTAGCAAAAGTGGAGAGAAGCGCTGCTGCAGTAGACAACTGTGCAACTGTGATTTCTTGTGAAATAGAAGAAATTCAAGTGCTCTCCTTTTTCTCTATGTTTTTCTTTTTCTTTTTTTAAAATCTGAAATCTCAGATGCTGACTCTTGATTGGGTCCAAACTTCTCATGTAATAAAAAGATAAGTCTTGGATAAGTGTTTGGGGATTGCCAAAATTAACAGGCAAGTCTAAGGAGGTGTGATGTCGGCAACATGCCTATTTTAGGGAAAGCTGTTGTTTTTAAAACAGGCCAAGCCCTCTTTTATACTGTTGTATCAACCTTTTAAAAAGTCTTTATTTTTCAATGCCCGAAACTGCATTTTTGTGTGTTTTTTTCCTCTACCTGAGCACCAAGCGCACGGAACTGGATCCCATTTGAAAATGACAGTGTGTGAAGTGTACGATTTACATTAAAAGGGGAGGGAGTTGCTGTACATATTAAAATTTTTTAAAAGGTTTATAGTTACCACCAAACACTGATGAATGTGTGACCTTTGCCAGAGCTGTCAAGCAAGGATAAAAAAGGTCAAGGACTTAGGACAATATCTCTTAGTCAATTTATTTGCAGTCCGTGCAACACATCTCGTACAAAATATAGCCCATCATAAACATCATACAAATATACTAAAGAGCACTAATTTATCCTCAGAGACCCTGAAGACACCCCCTCCCCAGGGTTTGTAGAAATTTGTTTTGTGTGCTGTGAGTGGTTGATGCAGTCTTGTCATTGTTAATAACGTGTGTGAACACTATTATTTGTACAGTTGAATTAATTTATTTTCAGACATCATCCTTTGTTTTTCTCCTGGAAGAGTTCAAAGCACACCAAAGAATTATATTATACATTTTGGTGAAAGATTGTCGTTTATGACCCACGGTTTATTTAAGGAAAAAAGAAAAAAGGAAAGAAAATGGGGGAATATATTTTTAAGCTTACTTGAATGAACAACGTAATGTGAAAACCAGGACTCTTCCTGCATGTCTTTTTTGCATTGTGTTGACGAGATTATATATAGTTTATAGATATATTATATTACTAGTACGGTGCATGGTGCTGTCACTTTGAAAGCCTTTCAATGTTGTCTTCAGATTGTTACAGTGACTATGAAACATGCAGACCCTCCTTTATAAAGAAAAAGACCATAAAACTTGAATATAAAATAATTCTACATTTTTAAAGTTTATTTGCTTTTCATATACCCACTTTCAGAGCTCTTTCAAATATACAAAGTAGGTATGGACTTCGGGGGGATAATTTATGTATCGTAAACTTATTAGAACAAAATATTCCTGATTTATAATGAGTTGTTTTATTTATACAACTTTTTCAATGGTAGTTTGCACTATTCTTTATTATGCTACAGGTTTATTTATTATGAAACAAAGGAATATGTATTTTATGTATTTTGCCATGCCTAGGGTCGCTCTGCCACAGATTTATTGGTTCCCAATACACCGAAAATGAAAACTTAAAAATGTGTACCTCCACTAGAAAGAAAGCAAGAATGATTATGAAGTTAAAAATTTAATAAAGGTATTCTTCCTATGTCTTGTTTATGTTTTACCTGATGGCGTGTTTCTGCCATTCTCGTACAAACAGAACAGGTTGCTGACCAGAGGACAGTGGGTTCTCCTGAGCTCTTTATTCTTAGCCTCTCCCCAAGCAATAACATTTTTATAGCTTGGTTTACTTTACAATCTAATCTAGAAAATGCAGTGTATTTTTGAAGACTAAGCTGTGTAAGTTGCATGTAACACCAGCATAAATCTTAGGGGTTACTGTGTTCGTTGGTTAATAATATCCTGAGGGATCCTAATCACTGAAAATCTGAGAAGTGAATGTGAGCATTTCTTTGGTGTCTAGCCTCTGAAGTAAAAAGGTAAAAAGAATGAAGAAAAGAGGCAGGGACAGGGAGAGGCTTCCAGACACAAAGAAGGTAAACTCAGGAGCTGGGATAGGTGCGGAGTTTAACACGCTGAATGAATGGTGGCATTGAATGCCTCTCACCATCAGGTAATGGGGGCGGGGGGGCGGCTTCCAGTTCGACTGGTTTATTTGCAAGTGGAGCTGATCTGGGAAGCCTAGCTCAGCATTTTAAGGCAGGTGGTAGCTAGAAATTAGACTCATGGCCACAAAATATCCCAGTGGCTCGAACTCATATAATTGGCTATCCACACGAACAGGGCTGATTTGATTGTGGGCTTGTTTTTTTCACTTAGCTGGTACAAAACTGATAAAAGGCAACGAGTTTTTAAAAAGAAGAGAACAATTGGTAGTCACGTCCATAAGCAGTTCTCCATAAGGTTATGGTGGTTTTTAAAAGTCAGCTTTGTCCGATATAGTGAAGGTGAAACACGTTGCAATGAGTTGTTTTAAGCCAGATGACGATAACCAGCGCACGAAGTGAAAAACACTCATGGCTAAGGGCCCCCAATCAATGGGAAAACTTATAGCTCTCTAATGAAGTTTCTCGTGAAAGGGGTGACACAAAGCCACCAAGACATGAATCATTCATGGGAAATATAAAAGATAAAAGATATCTGACAATGAGCAGAACCTTGTATAGAGTGTATAAAACAAGTTTCCCCTTCTTATTTTCTGCTTTAAAACGCACAATCTCCCACTCCCAGAGTTCTCTGTCCAGTCTATAGAGTTAAAATTGACCACTGCCCGTCCCGCGCCACTTCAAAGTAATTTAGTCCAGAACGGAAGGCTTGGCGCTTGGACAATCTTCATGGTGTGTTAAGATTTCTATGGCAATTGGCAAGCAAGACGTTCCCATCTGAATATGTCTCAAAGAAAGCCACTATTGACACTACGTTGGCTATCATCAAAGACTTCATCTCTCCTCGGCAAAACGTCGCCCTTGTGGCCCTCACAAACATTTTAAATCATCTACCTTTTGTTTTCCGGGCTAGGAGAATCTTCCAGTACATGGCTATTTGTAGGGGAGATATATCTTTTCCCCATTCAGGATTTTCTTTGGTAAAACTCCTGCTCCAAAAATCTAAAGCACAGAGAAATAGCTTGAGGGTGGGAATTCTATTCTTTCAAGGAGTTTGGAGATGGCCACACAAGAGGGATAGCACCCGGGACAGGAAAGGAGGAGGCCCGAAGTCCTTGAAAGTGAGGCCCAGCTATCAGCCTACGGGTCTGTACTGCACCCTTGTCATTTACTAAATCTTGCATTTGGGGGAAGTTGTTTGAGATCATAGTGGTTCCTTCTGCCCGCCTGCCTACCTACCTACCTACTTACCTACCTACTACCAGCATCTAATCTATCGATCTGTCATCTCTTTCCCTATGAAATGGGAGATGTTCCCCCTGAACTATTTTTTAGCCCAGTTTGGTTAGGAAATAGGACTGGGGGGCGAGGGGGGAGATAATCTGGTTCCTCCAGTGATCATCTAAGTCAGAGAGGAAAGGAAAGCTGAATACAAGAGAGACAAACAATCCAGACACTTACCAATACTGTCAGCCCCTCACATCACACTACCCACCATCTACCAAAATGGACACAAGGCCAGGAAAACCCAGCCTCCCGAGATTGGAGGGATGGCTAACGAGACCCACGGTGACACTGCACTGGGGTTGCCAGCCCAGCACTTTCCCTGCGTGAACGAAAACTCACAGACCCCCCCGCCCCCCCACACCCACGCCCAAACACTTCCGGGGCACACACATTCACACGGGGCACAAGTGCCTAATCAGGCAGGGAGAAGTTCAAAGGCATGTTCTTTGAAATTCAAACTACTGCTTTTCTGGTACACCCACAGGAGCGTCAGGATTGCTATGGCAATGGGCTGGGCCAGGGGACTCGCTGGCAGAGGCTCGACCGCGATTCGAGACACTCTATTAAGATACAGTTTGCAGTGACCTGTACTTCCATGCCAACTTAGCGCACTCAATTTTCACATCGTCGGAAATATCTGTATTACATATAACGCTGCCCATATAATCGGAGACGCACGACCCCTAATAGCATAGGTCTTTTCACCCACTTGTTGTTCCGATCTCCCATGGATCCTCCTAGCTGGCGAGAAAGGGGAGAGGGAGACAGAGGAGAGGAGGAGAGCGGGCCGGGTGGGGGTGGGGTGGGTGCGCTCAGAAGCGGGGACCGAGCCAGGAGCGCCCGGGCTCCAGTTCCTCTTCCTTCTCTCCCCACCTAAGTACTTTTATTTGCAGAGCGATTGTTCTTTGTTTATTTAATACAAGTACTGTGTGAATGGTGAAAAATAAACACGATGAAAAATAACCAAACAGATGATTCCTCCGAGTGAAAAAGCCCGGACTTAATAAAAGTGCGAAGCAGTCACCGCTGAATGAGAAACCCTTTGAAGTGGAACTTATTATAGGAGGAATACTTCGGGGTTGCCTTAACGACGCCGCTGAATCGAAAGCGCTCGCCTTTGTCAGCGATTTGTTCTCCTTTGCTGGGGTGCCCGGAGAAATTACTTACACGGGCTGCCTTAACATGCAGCCTGCAAATCAGTAACTTTGCAGCTCAGACTTGCAGACGCCACTCGGCAACGGACAAAAAGAAGTCAGGGGGAAACGCACCGAGCTTTCACGCCGAGCCTCTGGGGATGGGGGCGCACGGGCGTGTTGGGGGCGGCAGATAAGAAGTTGTCTTACAACTGGCCCCCCTCACCCGGGCTCCCCACGCCGACCCTCCCGAGCCGGAGCCGGGTCCCGGCCGGCCGCGGGGGGCCTCGCGGGCTGCAGGGGAGGCCGGGCCTCTCCGGGGCCCTCCAGCGAGGGGCGCTCTTCCACGTGCTGGCCCGGGCGCGGGACTTTCCCAGCGGTCCCCGCTATATTTAATAAGGGTCGTTTATCACCCGGGCGCTTTGAAGGGTCGCCTCCAGCCCTGTGCCCATTAGAAAGGCGGAGGTGACATTTAAACTCCGTTTTCAAGGATCGCGGGGGGATTTCCATGAAAAGGCAACTCGTTTGTCTTATGAGCCTGGAAACAACCCCCTTCTCGCTCCTTTTGGCCACATGGCATAACTCAGAAACAATAGTTCAAAAGTGAAATGGCATCGTGGTGTTCACGCGGAGACAGGCCCCCATCT